CATGTGCCTTCCTTAAACATAAGACTATAGCTTGGGGGGCTCTGTCATTGGGGAAGGGCATTGAAAACATGTATAATACCAATTAAAACCAACAATATATAGGCTTATGGCTAGATGATGAGGAAGGCCATTAATTAATTAAAATTATTATCCACACAATTTACAACATTACACGATGCACCTTTCATCTTATGAGTCATGACCATCACCAAAAACCTTACAAATCCATCCCTACTTTTTTTTTCTTTTTCTCTCTACATATTATAACCCAATTCATAATCTTGGAACATTATCCTCTCCGACGTCTGAAGAACAGAAGTTGAATCCCATGAGTTTGGGGATGCAGATTTTGCATCAAATCCGCCATTAGACCACCAAACCATGCTGTCTTTTGAACCATTCATGTCCTTGAAACAGTCAAGTTCTGCCGTTTGATGCTCCTGCTGTGCAAAGTTATTACCAACTGTAGTTTTGTTATTGAGAAATTCATCTAGCTCGCCCTGGAAGCTTGAAACTGGTTGAATCCCGGCATTATTAGATTGTTCTATTCCATTTGCCATCAAATTGTTCTCTGTAACAAAGGGAACTGATCCATCTGATGAAGATATCCCATTTGAATAGTCTTGTTGAAGAGTCACAGGAAGGATAGGCTGTTCTTGCTCTAGATTAGGGATTGGGGGAAGAGGTTGCAGAAGAGTGTTAGGGTTTCCATTCAAGGACTGGAGGTTCTGGAGCATCTTCTCTTGCAAAGGGTGGAGCTTGGGCCATAGAGCAGGATTGTTGTAGAAATTACAGAAAGGATTTTGGAGACTCTGAAGCTGCATATGGAGCTGCAGCCTTTCTAGGGCTGAATTGCTCAAGGCCTGTGATTGTTGATCATGACTATCGTCTGCGCCATTCATGTCAGTGGGGTCCTGGCTTGACCGGCTTATGTTTGATTGTTTGCGCCTTCCAAGTAGTTTCTTCTTCAGTTTGGTGTTCCAGTAGTTCTTGATATCATTATCTGTTCTTCCAGGGAGTTGTGCTGCAATTATGGACCACCTAAAAAAACAAAATAGGATTGATCTAAGTTAGTACTCAGTACTCATCAACTTCAAAAATCCTAACTTTAAGTTACTATCAAGATTCAAATATCTGCAATAGCTAAACAGTATAAATGTCTTCTCTAATAAAAAAAAAGGTAAAAAGAGAAAGAAACTAATCTCGAGATCATCCTACAAACAAGAAAGAAAGAGCAAAAAGATAGAACTTAAGAAACCCTAGAAAATAAGTTCTAAATGCAGAGGATTGAGATTTTTCTATATTTTCCCCACTAAGGCATCATGGACAAGTAATAAAAAGACAAGCAATCAAGGTTAAGCTTTTGTGTTAAGGCTTGTGGGCAGAAAGAAAGAAAGAAATAAAGAGAGGAAATTTGCCTGCTTCCTATACTTATATAGAGGTTGCAGATGATGTTGTCTTCTTCTTCAGAGAATCCACCATGCTTGATGTTTGGTCTCAAGTAATTCAGCCATCTAAGTCTGCAACTCTTTCCACATCTCTTAAGGCCTGTGAATTATTCCACCAAATTAAGGATCAAACTAATTTAAGAAGATGTTCCCTTTCAAGCATAAATCAAAGGCAAAACCAACACATATATAAGAAATAATGGATGCATACCAATTTTCTGAGGAAGAGCAATCCAGTTGCCTCCGGTTCCATATTTCTCAATGTAAGCCTTGAGCTTAGCATCCTCTTCAGGGGACCACGGTCCCTTCTTCACGTTGGCCTTGTCGCAGCAAGGAGCTCGACCCATCTCCCTAAGTCTTCTTGTTTCTCTCTTTCTCCAAGGCTGTTGTCTCTGATTGTTGGGATAATTTGGAGAAGAAAGAGCAAGATTTATAGGTAGGAATAGGGAACAAAAAGTCTTGCACCTTACCTTCTCTCTCACTCATTATTCAACCACATTTTCTTTTCTCTAGGGTTTGTGCAACTTCTTTAATTCTTTATCTCTCTTCCTTTTTGGATTAGTTTTTCTTTCCAATATATTTAACTATTCATGCAACTGGACAAAGTAGAAACACGAATTTTCTTCCTCTTTAGCATTTTAAATTGCACTGCTTTATACGGGTTCCATTAGTTTAATATTTGAATGCTACATGCATTTGATCAAATAAAGTCTTCTCCCTTTACCTTTGGCGCCTACATGGTTGAAATCTTCCTGATCCGAGATATGATTTCACAGTGAAGTTTCTTGGAAAGTTACAGCGGAATAGCACATAAAAATTAGTTGGGAAAGGTATTAATCTATGACGACAGAAAACATTTTTGTGAATGAATAAATATATATTGAAGAGAGCAACTTGATTTTGGGTGATGTTGAGAGTTTAGAAGAACCAATACATAGTTTTCTTTTGTTCATATTGAAGGAAGGCGGAGTTCATTTCACCCGAAGAAACTCTTCATTTTCTTTTACTCAAGTTGTAGTACCCCACATGACTAATTGAACTTAATTTGCGTACATAATCTATCTGCTTCTCTAATGTATATGTAACTGTGTAAGATTAATTCTTCAATCCTAACTCACTTTTTGAGATTTTAAAATAATTAAAGCAGGAGTATAAAGTTTGATCATATATCTGCTTTTAGTCATACAACTTATATTAGGCTTGCTAGCTCAGATTGAAGATACGGCAGATTGAAAACTCTTGAAAAACACTCCAGCTAGTTTGAGAACCCATTTTTGTAATTCAATAATATTCAAATATGAAATTTCTAACTTCGAGGTTTCAAGATGTATATATATACACTGTAGAAGGGGCATAACAATAAAAGAATAGGAAGTTGATAAATTGGTGCATATATATATATATATTGTATTTTATATTTTGTTTTATACTATGAGGGTGTTTTTTTTTTTTCCTTTTTTTTTTTTTTTTGTTTTTTCGATTTAAACTTAAGATTTTGAATTTAAAATCTCAAATTCTTAACTTGAAATACCCCTTAAGGAATTGGCATATAATATTAATTTGGAATAAAAATTAACTTCTAAAAGAAACATTAATATCTAATGCTTGTATTGAGATTGTGATATACATTACATATTTACTTGGTTCATCTATTGGGCCATGTATAACTGTTACAAAGTTGGCTAGGTTTCCAGGTCTGAATAAAATAACAAAGAGCAAGAAAACTCCAAAAGCAAAAAGATTGGGAACTCAAAGACTTTTAGAAGAAGCAGCATAATTGACCTTGTTTTTCCTAGTATAATATTTTTTCCCCTTTATTTATGTAGGAAAAAATGGCCGGATGCATAGAAATAACAAGAGGAAAACCATCAAAATTTCAAAAGCACTCACTCTCACAGAAACTAATATCTTTTAATTAATATCCATCACAGCTTTTAAGCTGAAGCAAAACCATGCTTCTGCTTGTCTTTGTCTTAACCCTAGAATCTCTCTATTAATGCATTCGATCATCAATAAAGACCAATTTATTTAACCTAATGAGTGAGAGCTGGTAAAGATTAAGAACATAAGCTTGGATGGTCGTTGGCTGGTATAATGATTGAAGCTGAGGGCCGGATAATTAAACTTCATTAATTTTCTTTGTTTTTCTACAAAAATATGTTTAGCATCCTTATTTCAACCTTGAATTCAATGACTATTAATTTCTTTAGGACTTACTCATATATATCTATGTTAGTGCATTAACTCAAGTAATGTATACAAGAATCATTCACCAATGGATAAGTAATCTTATACACAAATGATCTGTTATTTATTTAGTTATTGATAGATTTATATAAGATTTACACATATATAAGTGGATTCTCACTATATATATGTTCTGCACTAGCATACTTAATTAGAGAGTTAGGGTAGATCCTGGGCCTTTTTGCATTCATTAAGACATAAATATATTGTTTGACTTCTGTTAAGAAACTATCTATAAGTGTGTCTACGGTGGATCAGTTGAAGCAAGATATCATTTTGATTTTGTGAATAAATTATTGGTTCAAGTTTGCTTTTGGATGTTGGTTAAAGAAAACCACATATATATAACATGCAATCTTAATAATAATAACAATAATATATATAGGTAATTTGAGAATTAATGTTTTTATACAAAATTTTTTCTCATCGTTGGGAGACAGCCAAAAGTTTTGAATTTTGCAGGAATCAAATTAATGTTGATCAGCTATGGTACCTTCTCTCATGTAAGTTTAAACCGTGTATGTTGAGGTTGAAGTACTCTTTATAGTCATAAAAGAAAAATAATTAATATATATTTAGTTTAATACACTTTTTAACATTTATTTTGGTTTAACTATTAAAGTATAATAAAAATACAATCGATTTAATCAATTTCTACATTTTTAAGTTTGTGCAATGATTTTTTAATGAGTATGTTATATAGAAATGAATTAAAATATGTATCAATCACTACATTACTTATAAATAAGAGTAATAAAAGTTTGATTTATCAAAAAAATATATGTTACTATTTTAAAATTAAAATTCTTTTATATAAAGATTAAGAATTGAATATTCAATTTTTTTTTTCTTTGAACAAGGTTTCATATTGCAGGTATTTGAGAAAAGAAAAAACTTAAACTCAAATTTAATAAAAAGTCTCATATAAGAAATAATCACTTACTCTATCTAAAACTTCTCAAATTAAATCTTCGATTTATTTCCCAAAACATATAGAGACTTAATACCAACGTTTTTCTAACCTATCTACTACTAGCTTAAAATCATCGACTCTGGACATTGATCTGTTTCAAGAGAGAGATATTTTAAGGCTATAATAACTTATTATTTTCCAAGAAATGGTCATCTTGTTTTACATCATGCCAATGAGACTTGTCCCTTTAAATTCCTTTTTTTTTTCCCACCTTTAATGAAGGTCGAGATAAGATTGAGTTACCACAATTAAAACCAGAAAAAAAACTTAGGAAAATCCTTCATTGCGTCATAGGGTTTGACGACAAATGGATGCAATTAGTGGAATTATTTGATACTTAAAATCCACGAAAAGGACTGTGATGACTAGGAGTAATTAAAAGAAAATGAGGGGGTATCATTATCTTGCATGCACTTTTTTGTATAAATATATATATGCTACAACAAATAGACGACGCATGCAGTTGCTGAGCTTAAATGGGTCTAATTTTCTCTACAGGCCCCTCCCCTAGCCTAATAAGTCACAAAACATTTGTCAAACCCCCCATAATTAATGTTTATTTCTTTAATATAATTAATACTCATTTCTTTTATATTTTTTTATTGTATATGCTAATACCAAATTTATATTAGAATTGATTTAGCCAATCCAAGAAATTGATTTGACTTTTATCACTTGATTTTTTTTTTCTTGTTTATGCATAAAAAGCGTTCCTAGTGTGTGCGTGCTGTTCTACTATAGAAACAAAAGCTAAGTTAAATGCGATTTTCTTAAAATTTGCACTAAATTTTCGCTGACTTGAGGCTTGATTTGTGAGGATTATATTCTTATTTTTATTTTTATTTTTAGCAGGAGGGTGTAATTGGGCTAGTTTGTATGTATTCTAAGATTTATCTTTCTTTAATCTAATTAAATACAAACCTTTTTTTTGGGGAAGAATTTTTTATTAATTTTTTTTTTTATTAATTTTTACAATGAATCAAATCTTAATTAACAAAATAAGAAGCACACTTTCTTTCCAATTGACTTATTATTCGGTTGAGAGTTTGTTTCCTAGTTTTAGAAAAAAAATTTCTTAATTGTGCTTCTAATTTCTTTAACAATATGTTTGATTTTGAAGGAAATGAAAAAGAAGAGAAATGAAAGGGTTCGACATTCTTCCGTTTCTCTCCATTCTGCTTTTCTCTTCTTATTTAGATAAGTAAATAAATTTAAATAAAAAATAAATGATTCCGCTCCTCTCTCCTTCTCTCTAACCAAACATATTATAAAAGTCAATCAAAATTAGTGTTGAAAGCTTAGAAGCTAAAGCAATCCAGCTGCGATAAGCCTAGTCAGTTGAGGTCATCAGCAATGGCATCTGCAGGTTTTGACTTGCAAAGAGAAAGTCTTCACCGCGTGTTAGGTGCATGAGATGGTGTCACGGCATTTGACCTAATGCCTTGAGAGAGTTGGTGATGCGAATTCCTCCCACTTCACCTCTTATTTTTCTTTAATAATTGGCATATTTCATGCCCATATAAGGAATAATTAAAGTCAACAAGATGCTTGACTACCTACTTCAAATTTTGCTTCTTTATTTTGTGATCGATCTGGGTTCAGTAGCTGTGGGACATGCCCCCATCAACCAAAACAAGACTATCCTCTGCTAATTTATTCTGACTCGTATAGCAGTTGCTTTCAAGTTGTCAACATCAAAACGAAACAAAAGGCTGAATTTACTAGCTCTGAATCATAGGATATAATGAACATCTGTGCTTCTATATGGATTTGATACTCTTTTCAACAGCTTTCAAGTACTCAAATATGTTAGAACAAAATCAAGGTCGGTACAATAAACCTCCTATAAATGGGCAAGAGCAGCTATCTATATTTCATGCATCACCACAGATAAATTTGAGGACTCTTTGTTTCAAAATTTATAGAAATGCAGAAGGTCAAAAAGATTCAGAACAAATTTGGGTCCTAGTTTATCTTGAATTTCAGAAGTTCTATGCATTACTGTTCACACTCATTACCATTTAACTTATATACAAGATCTTCAAAAGAAATTATAGTCCCACCTTAAAAGATAGAAGCATTTCCAGATAGTATACTGCCATCTTGGGTCAGATCCAATGTAGCAAAACCCTGCAAAGGAAAGATGAAATCCATTCAAGAGTCAGAATGCTATTTCTGGGTAAGATGCAGGGACAAAGGAGGAAAGGAAGCCATTGTAGTTGGAGAAAACTCACATTCTGATTGGTCATCCATCACCGTCTTTGGATTGTCATGTCATCTTCCCAAGTATGATCCAGTCCAGAGTGCATTTTCTGGAGAGATCTAATGGCAGTAATGCAATGGATCCGATGAAGATGACAGAAGGCACTGCAGCTATTTATTATCATAACACAAGTAGATGACCATATACTGCAATAACTGGGCTTATTTTCCTTTTCCCTAGTAGCATGCAAGACATGTAATCTACTGCTTTAGTGTGAGAATTATTTTACATTGATTGCAGCAGCCATGTTCCTCAGCTTCTGAGAAATTTCTGAAAACGATGGCCTTTCTGACGGATCAGATGCCCAACACTTCTCCATCAAAGCCTTCCATTCAGGATCACACCATGATGGAATTTTTGGACGTAATGTGTTGTTGACAATACCTCCTGCAAATCAACATGAGAAAAATGTTGAAAAGAGATCGCATCAAACGTCACTCAAGCTGCCAAATTCACATTGTAAATAGAGAAATTTAATTTCATAATACAAATAACAGCACACTTAAACAGGATGTAGTTACTCTAAATTATAATGAAGATTTGGTGATTGATTGTACTAGCTAGGAAATCAGCTGGCTGTTAATAAACAAAAGCTCTATGTGACAAAACAAAAGGATATTCATCAGTCATATAGAAGAATGTGGTGCCATGCAGTATCCTTTTGAGATGAATGGAGATAAATCTGTCACTCAAGTGCCTTTAACCATTACTTGTTTGTTGGAATTGAAGTTTTCATTCACAAGAGAGAAAAATCAAGACAGATGGAACCATTCAAGTAGCAGAAAGTTTTTACAAATCAAGTATGACACAATTAATGTTAATTTTGGAAGCTTAGACACCATATCAAAAAGAACTTTGCCCAGTCTAAAATATTGTCCTTTCCTCCTTTCACTCCAAACAACAAAGTGAATGAAATTAAGATCAGAATAGACTACAAAATGCTAATCGACTTCTTTTTTTGGGGTATGCATCAACACAAACACAAAAAGTAGAGAGATTTAAACCATGGCACCTCCTAGGATCCTAGCTTATTGTCTTACCACTGCAATAAGATGATGCCGGACCATCAGAAAAGTTCTTTTAATTATTTAGTTCCAGAGTTATTGTTTTTGCATTAATTATGAGTTCCTAGTACTTTACCTGCATTTAAGTCATTAGCATATGACTTCTAATTCGGAGTAGAGTTAGAAGGGCATTAGGATTGATGGACTACTGTAACCCTAGCATAGATAGTCTTTTAAGAACTAATAGGGTTGTTTTCGTTTCCTTATTTTTTAGAATAAATTAGTCATTTGAGAACCCTACATTTTATGTTCTAGCTTCAATTTTATGTTGAATCTTAGCCACACTCTCTTATTTCTCTATTCTACTCCTACCTTCCCTGCATCACCTCATCAATATAAACATTAGTTGATATAATTGAAATGCAAAGTTATCCAACTCCATCAAAAAAAGTAGCAGTAAGGCCAAGTTAGTTTAGATCTCATAGGCAAGATACAAATTTCTTTGAGATGTAAAGCATTCATATGAACATAACATACTAATTCCCAGGGCAAAAAAAAAAAAAAAAAAGGAAGTGAAATCAAAATCACTCTTTCAAATGAACATCCCAAGTGAACAGTAAGCCCTGGAAGGTCATCATGATATGGGATTTATGCAAACATAAATTACTTGCACATCAAAGATATCAAGAAGACATTCTCTAGCAAGTCATTTGAAGTATATAGTCTACTAATATTGTGATGCTTACCAATTATAGAAGCACAATGCATATCAGCATAAGGTTCTTCCCCTGTGAGTAACTCCCACATAACAATCCCAAAAGAATAAACATCTATCTACAGCACAGAAATAAATAAAATATAAGCTGAAAAATTAATATAGCTTAAGAAACAAAAGAAACAGCCCCAAGTAGAAAACGGCTACATTCTGTCATACCGTGTATAATAGTACCTTTTCAGTTACCATGTTACTTTTACCACTTAAAAGCTCAGGTGCCATCCAGGGTAACGTCCCACGAACACCTCCAGACACCAAAGTGTGTTGTCTGACCTTTGATAAGCCCAAATCACCAATCTAATAGAGTGCATATATAAAATCAAGTGAGTGCCAAATTCATTAAACTCCAGAAGAGAGTATTCTATATGCTTCAAAAAACAATTTCAAAAGGAATCAACTGAAAATAATAATAATAAGAGCTTGAGGCTAAGGAAATAGTCAAAAGCTAGAACTCTTACCAAGTTTGCACTGCTAAAAATTACAGAAACATGGTAAGAGATTAGAGAAGCTTAACAACATAGTTGTGTGAAATGAGAACAATGCTAAGGAGAATGTTCTAAAATATTATATATGGAAATGGTAAACATAAAAGCCAACTTTCAGTTCAATTTCAAGGACACACAACAGTATTCTAACCTTGCAAACTGGGCGTTGTGGATCTCTCATATTTACCAACAGATTTTCGCATTTCAAATCAAAATGTACAATGTTCTTTCCATGCAAGTACTCCATCCCAAATGCTGCATCCATTCCTATAATGAGTCTCTTACGACGATCAATTGTTCTGTCCAACAACATTGTGACATCACTTCCTACTTCAGAAAATACTCTTTTCTAAATTGATTAGTCTACTATAGAACAAGATTTCATGTATGCTTAAGCAAAACACTAAGGATTCCTGAACAGACAACAGGGAAGACACTTAAAAGGCAAACTGACCAGATAGCCACCAACATGATTACCTGTCTTTCTTCCGCAAAAATTGTTTCAAAGATCCATTGACCATGAATTCTGTGACAGTGGCTAAAGATCCATCAGGACCATCACGTACAATACCATAGAAAGAAACAACATTTGGATGATGCAATGAACTCAATATCAAAGCTTCCTTCCAGAAATCTGCAATCTGTGAAAGAAACACAAGAAATTATAAACAACCAAATTCATAAAAAGCATCATATATCTATAAATGAGAACAATAAAACATATGTGAAGAAGAAATTGTAACAACTGTCAATAGTAGAATCTTTAAGCTGCGCTCAAACAAACAGAATGGCAAAAAAACCAAAAAAAAAAGAAAAAAGAAGAAGCTCAAACAGGTTATTTTGTGAATTTTGTCTTTGAAACTGCTTGGCCCATCTTGATACATTTAGATCACAAACCACTCACACAAAAGTAAATAACATAGAATACATATAAGATGAGGCATCTTTAATTCTTTGTGTGTCAAGCAGACTTTCCCCGAAATATTTTGTGAAAAGGAATATGGTGGCAAAAAATAATTAAAATATTACCAAACGTTCTCTTTCAGAAGGTCTCCCAGCAAAGCAGCTGGCTTTAATTCTCTTAATTGCCACATCAGAACCCTTCCATTTCCCATGATAAACAGCTCCGTATGTTCCCGAACCTAATTCTCGGATTTCCTCCAGGTCATCATTTTTTATTGTCTAAAGGAAGATAGTAATGTTGTCAAAACTTAAATGATAAGTACCAAACACAAAAAACCATGATATAGCAAAAACTGTCTAGATATAAATATAACATAAGATACAAGGATATTAGAATTGGTGATGCAAAGAGAGTGTGAATTGGAACCTGTAAGCCTCTTGCAATTGCTTCTGCCTCAGCTTTTGTTGGCTCAATCTTAGAAGTATTTAGGTTTTCATTATCACATTCCATCTCCAATTCACCACATGCATTCTAGGTGAAAAGCAGAAATTAGAAAAAGAAAAACAAGATACCATGAGAAGCTCTTTAACAAAGAAAGTCATCTTCAGTCTCACCGCTGATTCAAGTTCATTGGCAGCTACTTCTTTTTCAATTGAATCTTTCTTGACAGAATCACCATCATCAACTTTAGCTTTAACTTCCTCAACCTCTTCTAGTGCAGCCTTCTTAACAGAAGCAATCAACTCAGGTAGGAAACTTAGATTATTAATGGATAGGTTTGAATTTTCCAGAGCACAAGCATCTGTTTTGCCAGGTGTCACAGCATCACCACAATCTTCAGCAGGCCTTAAGCAATTTGAGTTGCTCGACTCACTGGAAGATATCTTAGATTCAATATCTGCAACCTTGTACGGTTCCATAGAAGGTATGCTTGGTACTTCAGAGTTTTCAATCTTCTCTACAAGGCATACTTCCTTTCCTTCCACAGGAACACTTTTCTCTTCCATTGCCACTGCTCCAGTGGCATTGGAATCATTTTGTGATTCTCTACTTTTACCTGAAGCAGATTTATCTGGAATTAAAGTTGGTGGTGGATCAGACAACTGCCCAGGTTCTGTAGAAGTGGCCAAGTTTAGCATGTCATGGGAGGATTGAATGGGCTCTTGGGGTGGAGGGAACAACTGTGGATTTTCCCGACCATTGGGGATTGTGTTCAACTTCAATGGATGAGCATAAGAATGCTCTGAAATAACAGTTCCATCAAGCCCCAGCATTTTCTGTGAGGATTTGGCCCAAGTATTTTGATTATCCACCCCAACACAAAATCTTCCAATGCCCTCCGCTGTATCCCTAAGAAATGGTGAGTTTACCGTGCTGTTAGTATGCTGTGGTAAAATGGATGCTTCATAACGCGGAGCACTGAGACCAGTGTTCTGAACATTTCTCCATAAAGTTTGTCCATGCACATGTCCATGTGATGCTGGGTAAAGATTATCACCTCCATATGCATAAGGATAATTCCCATACCGAAAACCACGTTCTTCAGGAGGAATGTGTAAGTGGGATGGGGTAACCAAAGCTTGATCATGAAAAACATCAGTTCCCATGTCAGGTCCAGGTCGGTGATGAACATAGTTTGAGGGCATATGATGAGCATCTGCTAAATTACCATGTCCATGAGGGAAATTCATAGTGGGACCATCCACAATGCAGTGATCATTCAGTTTTCCAGCTACAGGTGCATGATTTCTTGTATCTTCAACACAAGGATTTAGTTGATGTGGCAGAACCCAACCTCTTTCATGACTCTGCATTTCACTGTAAGGAGATCGAGCATCCCTTTGATCCTTTGGGTACATTGCAATGTGCAAGTTGGAATCTGCATTCACCATATAACTTTCCCGGCTTGGGGAGCACTCAGCACAGGGATTAGCAATCTGTGGAACTCCATTTCCCATGCTGGGATGCTCCAAGTGAGGTTGATGTCTATTGAAAGTAGCACGGCAGTGCTCACAGACATTGTTTCCTTCATACAGGTTGAGACCATGAAGTACATTCCCAGTAAACCCAGCCTTGTCACCAGAAATAGCTCCAGTTGGCATCCATACTACATTATCTGAAAATTGGGGATGGTGTTCATAAGTGGGATGAGGATTTAATTGCTGCCGAACATATTCTTCAGGCATTCTGTCCAAGTATTTATCTGGTATCTCTGGAAATGGTACCCGGTAGTGGCCAGCAGATGGTGATGCTGGAAAATCTGATAATGTTCTAGGATCATGGTGTCCATGGTGCCTAGGAGAATAAAAAGCAGGACTCCATGAACCTTCCATTTCATTGCATCTCTGAGAAGCAGGTAGCTGAAGTTGCCCAGACCCTATTCGAGGAATAGAAAGGTGATGCAAGTTATAGGGTGGCATTGACATCTCAGCAGGCCATTGGTTATGTAAGCCACCATCAATGTTCATTGGGTTGAAGAGTTGTTCAGCTAAATGGATGCCGTCTGTAATTGGAGTTGCAATGGGAGACTCACATTTCCTAAAATCAGAGCCCTCATTTAAACTATTCAAAGCATCAACATACCTCCTCTCAGTCTCCCTCTCATCACCATCACCATAATGTGATGAACCATCTTGCTCGGGATGTGAAAACAAAAAAATCCTAAGCCTAGTGAATCCATCACATGAACCCAACTTCTCATACTCTTCCATCATGTTAGTTACATCATCATCATTCACAACTGACACTAAAGCATCAAGATCTTCATCAGGTTGTTGATACTTCAACACTGCCGCCCCTTCATAAAGCTCCCTCATCTTACTCATCAACTCCTCGTAAGTTATATCTCTGGGCAAGCACACAATCCGTGTCTCTCCACCAACATAACGCAGTTTCCCATCCTGGGGTCGAGGCAAAATGCTCCCCAAAAAGCTACACAAGAATTTTACACGAGGCACTTCATCATTGGAACCAGTGGTAGACCCAGGTGCAGAACTGGGATTGGAACCAAAGGCAGAGGGTGCAGTTGAGGAAGGAGTATCCATCAAGTGCTGATTATCTTGTTTTTCAGGATCAACTATTCTTCTATTACACATGGAGTTCCCACTCAAACCATGTACTAAAAAATTCTGGAAAACTCAAATTCACAAATTTCAACAGTGTAAACATATATAGATTCTTCATCCAAGAGATTAAAGGAAAATCATATATTCATGCCACCCATAAGAGAAGAACCCTAAATTCAAATCAAAACAACCAATAACAGCTTCTAGTCCACCAGCTTAATTAGAATCTCCACCATCAACTGCACAAAACAAACACCCATTTCAAATTCCCCAGTTCAGGATTCAATATCAAAAACCCAAATCATCCCAATTCTCAAACCAATGTAAACCGAAACGGGAAGCCAGTACCTGGAATAGCGCACAAAAAAGTTGGAAATTTTCCTATCAATCCCCCCTCTCAATGGTTCGCTCTGCAACCTGTGACTGAATGAATGATCTGGAGCTGATCTAGGAGAGAGAAAATATCAGAAAAAAGAGAAAGGGGTTCGTGCAAATCGATCACAGTAATTATGGAGAAGGTGAAGAATGATGACGAAGAAGGGAGAGGACCGCCATGCGCAAAGGGAAACAAGGAAGAATTCGGGAGGAAGATGCCAAGACTGTACGCCAGGTAGTGTCCCACGTGGCACTACCGTCTCTCACCCCTTCTCTCTCGTTTCTACGTATTTTATTATCCCCTCCACCGCGCGTGGTGTTGCGTTGCCACCCATTTCTTTTTATTTATTTATTTTATTATTATTATTATTATATTATTGTACTAAAAAAATTAAAATATTTTATAAGATATTTAATAATAATTATATTATAAATTTAATAAAATTAAAATTTATAATATGCTTTATATATTTAATATTTATGATTAAATATTTTAAAATTTTTAATGTCAAGATCTTTTAATTTATTTTTTATTTTATTATTTTTCATTCTTTTAATTTAAATAGAATTAATTTTTATTTAAAATATTTAAATTTAATTATTTACTTTTAAATATTCATAATAAAAAGTTTTACATATTAATTTATTAAAAATATTTAATTAATTTTATAAACATTAATGTAATTTTTATAGGTGGACTTAAAAATTGCTTTTAATGTTTCATTTTCCATGTTTTTGGGTGCATTTCATTTTTTGTCATTGTCTTGTCAATTGTGATGATGATCATTTTTTAGATTTTTCCTTCTTGATGATGTAAAGAATAAGCTATTAATATTCTTTTCCTTTTTTAGTAATAAAAATAATTTTCATGTTAAGCTTATATATAATAGTATTTTAGTAAAATTTAAGGTGAAAATAAAATAATTAACAAAAATTATGATTCTATTTACCTCATTATTTCCTTAGTTTTATAAAAAAAAATATTTTCTCTTCAATTTTTTTTTATAGAGCTCTTCAATCAAGTTTTATATTAAATTTAGAGTTACTTACACATAAATATTTAAATTTATTATTTATGTTTATTTAGAGATTTTTTTGTGTGTGCTTAATATTAACAAGATCTGGGATGAATAAGTGTAAATCTTATGTAAATTAATAATTTTGAATTTTATAATTTAATAGTCAACATGACATTATCATATATATTGTTAGCCCATCAATGGTTGAATTATAAAATTGATCATTGATCATTTTTAAATATATATATATATATATAAGCTAGTTATGACTCATAAAAAATATTATTGATATATATATATATATATAAGCTAGTTATGACTCATAAAAAATATTATTGAAGACATAACAAATAAAAAGATTCAAACAAAATTAAATATGCCAAATTTTGTAGTATTAAGAAAATTCTAGCCAGATATTAATAAAAAAAATTAAATATTACCACACACATATTTACGTGGCTCATTCTCCTCGACTATCAAATTATAGCGAAAAACAACTTAATTGAATTACTAGTCTATTAGTTATTAATCTAATTTTATTTTGTCTAAAAAATTAGTTTTGTTTCTAAATAATTTATAAACTTTGTAAAAATATTTTAGAATAGTCTAATATGTAAAATTTTCATTAATTTCAACAAAAAAATATTAAAATAATAAATTAAAATTAAAACCAAATAGTCTCAATTAACAAAATAATTCACAACAAATTATATAAACTAATAAAATATATCAATAATTGCTATTTCTACTAGAAACGAAAATTATTAAAAGGGAAAAGTTGAAGCAATATATGATACGATGCAATTTTTTTAGATTATGAAAAAAAAAAACTTATCATTCTCACAAAATTAATTTTATTTTCAAATTAATTTTAAAAAGTAAAAATCAATTTGACTAGATAAAGTGAAACTATTCCTAGAAAATTAATAGATTAGATTTAATTAAAATAAAAATAAAATATAATAGATGAATATAAAAGTATTTAAAAATAATAGATAAAAAATAAAATTAATGGATTATTTATTAAATTAAAGGTAAGTTTGACATTATTGTAAAGTGTTAAAATTGTAACTGTAATTATAATTGTAACTGTGCTGAATTATATTATACTATAACTATAAATGAAAGTTATTGTACTGTTTTGTTATTTATTTTTTAAAAATATTATAAATGAAATATGATAGATGTTATTAATTATTAATTAAAATTTTAAGAATATTATAAGATGTATAATTATTAAAATA